ATTTCTGCTGGGGCTTGGGTGGGGTGGGGTTTTGTTTTAGGGACGGGGGAGGTCCCGCGGGGTTGGACACCGGAGGGGGCGTTTGCTCGCGAAATGGGGAAGGTGTCATCCTTCTTTCGCGGTCTATCTGTAATTGAATCTAGGTCAGCATTCTAAAGCAAGAAAAGTCGGCGGCTCCCGAGTTTCCTACAGCAGACTAGACTTTAGGGAAGGGAGGGTGTCCTTGCAATTTCATTTAAAATGTAATGGTGGATGAACTGATAAGCAAATGGGGGTGGGTGGGGGTGGGGAGGAGGGGAGCTTTGCTTAAAAGAAAAAAAAAAGGCATGGTTTTAATATGCTTCCAGGTGGGGGGAAATGATTTACATGGGAGTTTATTTCCTCTTTGCTGATATGAAAGAATTACAGATACAAAACCCACTGATCTATAGAATAAAAAAAGAAAAGAAAAGAAATGTTATTTTGCTGTAAAGGTATCAGTTCATTTATATTCATTTAACCATCCATCCATCAATTTAGTTTCCCACTCCTTGCACATATTCCTTAGCCCTGTTAAAGCTTACCAACCAATATACTTTTCTGGAATACGCAATGAAGTCGCCCCGTTTTTTTAAAAAAATCATGGGGTGAAGAAGGCAAAGAGGAAACCATTTTCTCAAAGGGAGGCACAGGGACACACATACTGTATATTGTAGAAGTACCGCTACAGGAAGAGTAAGCACTCCTCAGACTGGATCATTCATATATTGAAACGGATTCATTTTTTCTCCTGTATTCACTTTCTTGATCTGTTTCAAATGAACCCACCCACCCACTCTTTGTAAGGTTCATTATATTAATACAATTCATGATAAATGTGCAAATATGATATAGAAATTACGCAAAATTAGTGCACAGATTTTAAAAATGTTGTATTCATATATAATAATCACACATTCTCCCAAATAATGCATTTTGTATATGTGCACTAATTTTACACAGAATTTACATCATGTTTTATAATATGTTGCTGTTATTATATAAACATCCATACTGCAATAAACTTATCAACATAACATAAATACACAGACACATGTAATTATTCAAGAAAGAAACAAGAAGTTGTTCTCTTTTCATTTACAAGGTAAAATAAAGAGGAGGCCAGATTCTTAATATAGAAGAGTGCCATCCTGTTTTAAAATCAGTGAAAGATTTTTACTTGGGGGGGTGGGATAGACCAAGATACAGTTTGCTCTTTGTAAGTAGTATTCAAAGAAAGCAAGGCCAAACCCTTTCTTCCTATCACCAGGGGATTCTAATAATAAAGCCATATGAGACCTTTGTAGAAAAAGCTCATTCTTGCCTTCACTGTCTGCATATTAGATAAAGAAACACAGAGATCTGAATGGCTTTCCTCCAGTGTATGACTCTTGGAAGCTTACTCAGGTGAGAAGTTGCAGGAATATAGGCAGGATTATTTTTCATTGTGGTGGTGGTGGGGAGAGGACAGTTTGAGGCTATTCATACTGAATCTCTTGTCCTTTTTTAAAAAAGCATATCTATCTACAAGTAAAACATAAAAGAAAATTAGACAACTCAAATTTGACAAAAACCTGCTGGGCAAAATCCAATGAAAGCTTCTTACATTGAAAGGTATAGTTCTGTGTTTATTTACATCCCATGGGGTTTACTTCTGTGTAAACATGCATACACTTGTGTTCTGCTTTTCACCAAAATCAATGAAATATCACAGCATTAAAGACTATGTGTACTTAGAATCAAGCCACACTGAATCAACTCATGGGTAAAGGGGCAGAGATTTAAATATTAATCATGATACATTTTTTACTGGATCATGCCCAGTTCATTCCTCTAGATTTCTGTCTCCAGCAAAGGAGTACTTATCTAGTCTTATAGACTTCCTTCTTGATGTTTCTGAAATTTACATCTAAAGAAACAATTCTGAAAAACATTCCAGACACCCTCATAACAATGTCCTAATCAACACAGAGATTTTTCTAGCTTAAAATTTGTATTGGAGTCCAAAGCAAGTAAGATTCGCTTTTTTTGAATGCATTCCTGAAGAAAAAGAACTGGGAAACCTATTACATAACATGATTAATATTTAGGTTGCCATAAGGATGTTGAAGGAGAGGGCTACTAAGTGCGAGAGTTTGAAATTAATCCATTGAAAAGATATTCTTAAGATTCAAGTACTAATGAAAGTCAGGAGGGAAAAAACTGGCTTCAGCAGACCGAGTGTTTTTCTTCAAATTATGTAACATGGGTTTTGTGCTTGGTTTTGACAGTGGGATTCAAAAATGAAATAAGTGAACCACACAAAGGCCTAGTCCTTCTTAGCTAGTCTCATTTCAAGCAGTGGGAGTTTGGCCATCTCTTGCCATGAGAGCCCAGAGGGACTTGAAAGACCCATTTGGGTTGCGAACTGAAACACTGTTGCATAATGTTAATTTTATTAATCTTTTTTAAGCCCACCGCTTTTGAACAAATGCCCATTTAAAACAGTTTTGCATAATTACACATTTCAGTCATGTTTTAGTTGATTTTTAATTTATTATTATTATCATCATCGTCCTGGGTCACATGAAAATTCCCGATTCATTCATTGAAATTGACTCAGACCTCTCTCTTGAGCTCTTTCCTTTGAGACGCTTTTGAGATTCTGTGCTCTGCTGAAAGAAGGCTTGGAAATGCAGAACGGTGCCAGCTCTTGGGACTGGTGAGTAAATCATCCTAGCATTCTTGAAATGCTCTCCTGTATAAAGTTGTGTTGCTGCATTGTCTTCCAGAATATATTGACATGGTTCCAGTTCAAACTATCTCTATTTGTTTTGGATGTCCCTTGTGGTTGCATCACCCAGTGCTAGCCCTAACATGCAACAAAATAAAGCGTGTTGCTTTAGGCAAGGGCATTTTAGGGGGCTAGCTAAAGACAGAAACTGCTGTCCTAAATGGCATAGCTAAACAATGTAAAGTGCTCACACCAGCATGCAATGAAGACAGATGAGGGTGGGTAGGAACCATTTGGGCCCTGATTCAGGCAACTAAATGTCTTGGGCTAGCACTGCAATAAATTAATTTATTGAGGGTTCCATTGAAGGCACTTGCAGAGCTAGCAGAGGTTGGAGATTTCAGCATTGTGGCACCAGAGAACCTTCTCTGAGCCTAGTTTGAACTTTAAAGGAGCTATCCAAATGCTGAATCTATCCTAGCAAAAGAGATCAACACCTTGGAGAGCTCTTGCAAAGTTTGGACTAAACATAGCATAGATTCATTGCCCCTCCAACACTGGGGGCAATAGCTTACACTGAACAGAACTATACTGACTGAGCAATCTTATGCATACTTTCTCAGTATTTACTTAGTACTTAGCTAAGTACTTTCTTCTTACCTTCTTTTGAGCTTGGTGGCACTCACTTCTGATAGGCATACACAGGGCCATGTTCTGAATACTGCACCAACTTAATATGTCTGTCCTGTTACATTTCATGGCATTTGATATGAGTGACAGCAAAACACATGTTTAAATCTCTTCTCTTGAAATCAAGGGAACTTCAGTGATCTTGGTTCTGTCCAGTCAGAACCAGACAGAACCAAGATCACCCTATATATTTCACCCAAAATATTTATCCGTGAAATATTTGTAATCACTGAAAATGTAACAGTGCTGTAGAAACGTGTGCTATGTAGATGAGCCTCACAAAGAAGAGACCTCTGACTGAAATGCTGGAGAGCTTTGGGCAGTCAAAGTGGACAAATGATTTCACCTCAAATAAGGCATGTATCAAATATTGGCTTAGTGGTTTATAGTTAGAGGCAATTTTTAACTCATGCATCATGATATTTGGGTCAGAGCTTAAGGGGGTTATCTTTTTAAAATTGCAACTCCCAGAATTCCCCAGTGGCCATGTTGCCTGAGGATTCTGGGATCTGTAGTTCAAAAAGGAAAGTTCTGTATCTGGTAGAACTAAAAGTATAAGAAGTATGTGAGAGTGTGAGTAAGAAGGTCAGAAATGCATGGGATGGTGTTTACAGAAGAAAAACCATGAGACTATTTTTGGAGAATTATAGAAAAACATCCCAATCTAAGTACTAGATATGCATAAGTTCAGTTCTATTCAGTGGAAGCTAATTTTTTTAACAAAATTCTACAAAATGTTACTGCTTCTACAATAACATATATTATATAAAACCTATACTGTAATTTGGATGTAAACCTTTGGTTTCTTAATGTGTATTTGATTCAAAAAGTTTATCTTCTGAATTTTGTTGCATGTTAATATATACATGTGTGAAAATGGCCACAAAGTTTGCTTCTCTCAGCTTATATGTGGAAATTGCCTCCTGAACATTTAAACACATTCAGCATAGTGAACAAGGTAATATGCCCTGAGAAAATAAAGATTCAAGATTTCATTGTTAATAGGGAGTTTGGGACAGGTAAAATATGTTACTGCATTGTCTCTCACTTTGGCAAGTTTCAGAGGATTGGTTGAGAACAGAAAACGGTTTTGAAATTCTTATTTCCCTTTTTTAACATTGGTGCTGTTAGAAATAGCTTTCTTCTCCCACTGAGGTTTGTGATATTAAGTGCTTCTAACTACTCAGGAGTATAAAAGCAATATTTTTTCCAATTTTGATTCCAAGACAGTTCTTCTAGACCAGCCATTCTCTACTTTTTTTTTTTTTGGCCATGGCCATAAACACAATATGAAAGAAACAGAAGATGAATCAGGATTGTACAAGTTGCAGAGCAAATCTTATAAGGAGAAGTGTGAAGAATTCCTTCCAGTCTGTGACTCCCTTCAAATATGCCAGCCCCCCCCGGGGGACCATATGGCCCCCGTTGAGAATGGCTGCTCTAGACTATGGCATCAGCTGGAGAAAAAATTCCATGTATGATTATCTACTGCATATATTTTAAAAACTGATGGCAGTTTGATTAAACAGAACCATTTTTTTTTTAAAAAAACTTTTTTTGCAGATAAGTTTGAGCCAGTTTGGATCCATTGGAGTCAAGCTGCCTGGAATCAACTTCTAGTTGTGGATTGGGGGCTCCATAGTGCTGGTCTTCCATCCTATCATGAAGGTAAGAAGGGCAATCAGAATATTTATAATATTGACCTACGTGCAGATAATTTATCGTGGGTTTTTTTTTGCATAAACTTTTTGTATTAATTAGTTGTTCTTGAAGTAAAGCCATTTAAGGATCAGGTCTTTAGTGATACAGTATATGTAGGTGATCATATTTATGAAACTAAGATTCTTATTGGGTTGGAATATATTTCTACTGGTGGTTTCTGGTTGGTTACTGTGGGCCATAGAAGTATCTATTGAAAATGATTTAAGGAGCAAATCAATAAATGTCTGTCTAGCTTGTTAGCTATCCAACTACCTGTTTCTTAATCTCTGTCTCAGCTCTGTTCCCCTTCTCTAACCAAATGATACTTACCTTAACATCATGGGAACTCACCTCTGGAGCCCTTCTGTGTGGAACCTTCATAAACTTCCTTGCATTGTCCTGCCCGATGAAGCTTAGAACCTCGGAACCCATCTTGAACCCAAGAGTTCCACTAGAACAGGTAACCATTTGGAATCAATCAACAAGTAAATTCTAATCCAGATTCTTCCTAGCATAACCATTTTGACAAACTGTTCAATGTTGTGAGCCACTCTTTAAATCTGCAAAGGAATTTGGCTTTAATTCTTCCCTGAAGACTCTTGCTTTGCTGGCTTTAAGCAGATATTCATAAAACAGATATGGAAAAACAACAACACAGTCTTACTTACCTCAGTTTCTTCTATGTGGGTTCTTATAATAGATTATAGATGCACAGTTGCAGTACTATTGAACAACACTATTTTATCTTTTTTAAAAAAAAAACACTTTAGGGTTCCCCTCACACTTTGGAGTTGCAAAAATAATTCTGAGATTTATTTCACTCTGGGAAAAGAGTGTACGATTTGGTGTACTGGTCTGTGATTTCATGAAGTTTACTGAGAGGCTAAAAATGGAGACTTGTGAACACTTTTATCATTTATTGTTGGTTTTGCAAACAATGCCCTCTTCTCATCAGTGTTGTATCATATGTTCTGGCAACATATGTGATTTGGCCAGCATTTCAAACTTCTCAGGGCAAAAGATATATCTGTTCAAAGTAATATTTGTTCAACAATATAACAAATCACTTATAAACACAGCTTCCGTATAATACATATTCGGTATAATACAATTTCAAGCATGCCAAGAAAAGAAAAGGAAAGAAAAGAAAAGAGGAAGCACAGAATTGCACTACCCCAGGTTCTTCTATTCTCACCTTAAATTACAGGTCATAGGTTTCTTGGAAAAAAGAAAAAAAAGTCTGAGTTTGGCAGAACTTGTCTGCTGAATATACAATAAAATATTAGGGAACAAACATGAATGACAATGATCAGTTACCCCTGTCTGCTGGCTCGCCTCAGTTCCTCTCTCTTGGAAATTTTTCCAATTGAGAAAGGGAGACCCATCATTATCTCTCATAAGTGAGATTTTCTCATTCAGGTTTTATTTAGGTATTGTGCATTATGCATATATACCCATCTTCTGCCACTGCCATTTTTCCTTCTTTGGAATCCCTCATTAACAATAATTGCTACAATATGAAGAAATTGAGGCACTGATAGAACAGGAGTTTTAGTACTTTTGTTCACTTAATAAAAGATATTTGCAATGTTAATGGGGAAAATTTAAACCCATTTTGAGATCTAGACACAGATTAGATTGGGAATAATCACTGTAGCATCCACCTTGTTGAATGACATATTCAGTTGTTGACTGACAGGCACTCCTGACAATCAAGCACAAGAATCTCTTTGGTCCCTGCCACAGCAATCATTTGTAACAACACTTATAGCAACAGTAGTGCAACTAGTGTATGAGGGCAACATGAGGAACCTACGAATGTGAATGTTGCCACAAAATGAGCAGAGAGTCTTGTGGCATCTTAAAGATTAACATAAGTTTAGTTGGCATAAGGTTTTGTGGACTACAGACAACATCTTCAGTTGCATGGCATATATTGCATCAGGTGACAGGCTTTTATGCATGGAGATGGAGGGGTGGAGAACATAGAATGCATTATCAGTGTAAACAGTCTGACATGGTGATGGACTAAACAATGGTCACTGAGGCAACAGTCCTGGGGAGGTATAAAGTGCAGATCATAATCATGATGATTAAGACTTGTTCAGAGTTGATTGATGGGTGACAGGTGCATCCAGGCATTGATAAGGAGGTTAACATGTTTGTACCTGTGAAAGAAGGTGAATAGAGGAGAGAGCTTTTTCTTTTCCTCCCAGCTTTTCTGGGGTTTCTTTTCTTTCTTTTTTAAAAAAATATTTTTAAATTTTATTTTAAAAACTACAACATAAAATACATAAACCAAAATACAGTGGTGCCTCGCTTAACGAGCGCACCGTATAACGATGAATTCGCATAGCGATCCGTTTTTTGGGATCGCTAATGTGAAGGCATACCGACGGTTGCAATGGGCAAAACCCTCATTGCGAAGATCAGTAAGCGTTTCGCTTACCGATCTTCGCATTGCGACATTGGGGGGATCAGCTGTTTGGCGGTTCCAAAATGGCCGCCGGATGACCCAAAATGGCCACGCGCAGCGTTTTTGCACCCTGCCCTCGCTTACCGAGGGCACAAAAATGGCTGCCTCTATGGAGGAACATCGCTGAACGGTGAGTTTTGTGCCCATTTGGAACACCGTTCAAATGGGCACGGTTTTCCCGTTCCGTTTAGCGATGTTTCCCCATAGCGAAGGTTAATCTGGAACGAATTAACCACCCTATGCGGGCCACCACTGTACAATCAATTGTGTTCTCCACCACCCTAGTCAGGACCTCTTGCAGTAATCTTCTTCTATTGTCTTTATTCTTCTTCCTTTATTGTCCTCTTCTACAGAACTGCATTGATTCCTGCATCTGTACAACCCTGTGAGGTGGGTCAGGTGAGTCAGAGGACCTGGCTCAAATTCACTCAGGGTGTCTCATGGCTCAGCGGAGACTTGCACATGGATCTTTTTTGTCTCACTCCAACATTTTATCCACTACTTTGTCTTTTCTCAGTCCAATGATTTCCCTGGATTCAGCATGGATGGGCAGTGCTGAGCTTTCGTTGTCTCTAGATCCATCCTGGGGGTATGGGCAGGCTTCTGACATCCCTTCAGCCATCTTCGATTTCACCTCTCCCCCCCCACACACACACACGAAGGGGAAGTATTTTTCAATGGATAGAGATCCTGATCGGCTTTTTTTTTTTCATTCCTTGTATCTATGTGCTGAAAGTTTTGTTGCAGCGTTTATCTGTGTGGGAGAATGGTCAGGAGAAGGAGGTTTATAAAAAGAGAAAAATGGTTCATGTTAAAACAGTAGCACCCTTCCATGCTGCTATGAATCTCACCAGTTTACATACTGCATGGCTCCCTGCCCCACTTCCGATCTGCTCCTTGTAATGCACCGGACCCCCTAAAGGACCGCTGGCATTCGGTCAGAGAGTTCGACAGGCCACTTATCTACTACCTTTGCACTAGGGCAAGTCCCAAGACCTCAGCAGTGTGTAGCATAAGCCCTTTGAAAAAGTCTGACCTAAAAAGAACAGTTTACTCTTAGCCAGTACCTTGCAAGTACAGGCACATGGGCTTTGTGAGTCCTTAGAGCTCACTAAAGCTCAGTTAGGTAGGACTCTTAAAAGATAGCTAGTTTTGGCCCTCTCCACCTCCTGGATTTATCCAGACCCTACTGTTCAAGAGACCAGTCCTTTTGTAGAATTTTTATAATTAATTTGTATTAGAATAATAGCATTTCATTAGAAATCAGATTGTATTGCACAAGCTTTAGCATTAAGTATATATTCAAAGATCATTGCAGTTAAATAAAATAACTATTTCCCTTTTAAAATAATAAACACTAATAAGCTAACTTAAGGTGGGCTATAGTGGACTAGCCCCACCTCCTTCCTTCTCCTTACTTACTGTACATCCTCTCTCCTTCATGGAATTGAATCCAGAACAGAGCAACACACGAACCATTGAACCCCATGGAATTGAATCCAGAACAGAGCAACACATGAACCATTGAACCACATTGAATTGAATTGAATTGAATTATTTTCCACACAACCCATCATCCATTTTCTACCTTCCCAAACTCCTCCCTTTTTCTTGGCCTTTCTGGCTGTCAACCAATTAGCCTCAAGAGGGTGTACCACCTTCCTCCTTCCCTTATTCCCGTGAAAGTCCAGGTGTTGCTTATCTCTTCACCAACTAGCTTGGAATGTTGAGTCTTCCACTGGGTTCTCAATTTGGCCTTCATGCTATCTTGAACCAGGCTGTAATGGTCTCCAGGAAAACACTCTCATGATGCTTAGAAAACACATTCCAATGTCTCTCAAATCATCTTCACACAGAACCTGTCTGACTCCATTTTACATTTCCTTGACTACATATCCCATCATCATGACACTCCTATCTACTCTAATGAACACACACTTGCACCACTTTAAATAGATCATGGAATTATTTCACCTTGAATGAACCACGCTGCTTGTGGGGCATTATGGAACTGGAACGCAGTATTCAGAGAAATTGACATCTTGATTAGTAGCACAACTATTGTTTTCTCACTTTTGCTCCTTTAACAGACGCTTAGTACCTGAGGACAACATCTACCATTTTGTTTTCCTCACCACAGTATAAGGTAGCATGTGGTGGACCGTAGTAAGGAGGGAGAGCAGAAAGTCAGAGATGTTATTGTGTTTTCTTCTATGAAATTATGGCTTTGTTTAGATACAAAACCATTTATATATTATTTTTACCCAAGGTAACTTGCAATGATAATTGGGGAAAATACAAATAATGTAAAACAACAACAAAACAAACAAATATACTGCTGCAATTAAAACAATCATGTTTCATAGTGAAATATGGTATTGTTTATTCAAACACTTCTTCCAAATCCACCTTGGAATTCAATTAGGTTAGAGTGGCCCCTTAACACATTTCCCCTCCCTCTCCCTCTCTCAGAGAAAAGAGAAAAGCCCTGTCAAAGAAGAGATGCTAATTGATATGTATACATTCAAGTAAAGAAATTATTCAACAAAAATACAGTCAACCTTGCCCTAGAGGAAAAAACTGTGGCAAGTGACATTTTGTGCCTGACCATTCTTTCATTCAAGGTCTAACTGAATGAGCAACTTCATGGTCCCTGATTTTACCTCTTGTAGATATTTGGCTGGATTTTTGCTGGTGTTCACATAAGGTTTGTGTAACTTGCCACAGATAATTGCCACAAATTGATGAGTGCTGGTGTTCACATAAGGTTTGTGTAACTCGCCACAGATAATAGCCACAAATTGATGACGTGCTTGGACTTGTCTCTGCAGTGAGCATGTGTGTCAATAAGCACATGACTGAGATTTGCCCTGCCCAGCTACAATTTGCTGAGATAAGGCATGGAAAACTTTTGCAACACTAGTCAGCTTCTTGCCTTTATTTCTAAACTAGACTTAGCCTGGACAGCCCATCAAAGACAGGGC